GCACTGTAGCTACCCCTGGGGTGAACAGTTCTGGGCTTTTCACCCTCATTGATGTCATCACTGAGTGCTTAAGGAGTGCCGAGTAATGAATTTCCCCCACATGAAATTTTTGCCCTCAGAGAATTCAAAATTCCAAAGAGGATTTTCAGTACTTGAATTTAATGATGCCTTTGAGATTTACAACAATTAGGAAAGAACTGGAACAAAAGCATAGCACTTCAGGTATTTCCTTGCCGCCCTAGTGATGGATCTCTCTCTCTCCCCCATTCCTTTCTCTCCTCTCTCTCATCGCTCCTCTCTCTTTCCTTTCTTTCTTCTCTCTCTCCCTCCCCCTCTCTCATATCCATTTGTCTAATCACAGCACTCCTTATGCCCACATTGCCCAGTGTGAAGGCTGACTCCCATCTGCCCACTTTTCTCACAGAGCAATAGCAGGGCATTCATATCGTAGGATCCACATTCCCAGTTGCTGCAGGGCCACTGGTGGTGGCCAGGAGATTGGAAACTCTACAGCCTCAAAACACTCCATCAAGCCAGTCAGCCGGTGGCATTTCACAGAATGCTACATGATTAAAGACCATGAAGGTTAAACATTCTAACCAGACACATATGTCTAGCAATGGTCTTTTGAAAACCCCCATTCTGAGGAACCATCTGGACATTCCAGGTGATCTCCATGCCTACTAACGGGGGTCTCCTCCATCATACATAATAGTTTGTGTAATCCAGCAGAGAGTGTATTTGATGGCTCCTTTTGTTTTAGCTTCTTTAAGAAGAGAGCCAAAGATTGGCTTCACTTTCATCAAAAGAATATTGTTACCCATAAATAAGAATGCCCTGGCTTTTAAAGAGGGTTAGAATTCAGAACTTGTTCCTGAGCAGTGTCCGGGCTTAGATTCTAATGGAGACTCTGAGGACTGAGAGAGAGAACTCAGAGAATGAATGCTAAAAAGTACAGATGGATACACTTCATCTGGCCCCGAGGAACGCCCTTCTAACAACAAGAGCAGTGCTGGATCGGAACCGATTCTCAACTCTCGGAGAGCGAATGTTCTGAAATCCAAGAGGCAGATGAGATCTTAGCAGTCTCTCCAGCACAGTCTTTATGCAAAGGAAGAAAGGGCTGGGGGACTGGGAACTTAAAGAGGGTGCCTCAAACTCTTGAAATTCAGATTCATAGGACAGAGCATTTTCTTCAAAAACAAAGTGGATAAATTCACACAGAGACTGGATTACAATCTAATTGGAATGTTGCAGTGATAATCCAATGTTTAAGTAAAGTAGAAAGGGGTCAAGTATTATTTTCAATTCAAATAATCTATCATACTGTAGTTAACTACTTGGGATAAATGGTATAATCCTGGAAGGTAACAATATCCTAGGTAACCTTTGTAAGAGTATATACAAACAAGCAATATCTGTGTTTAAAAAAAAATTATTTATGGTACATCCAACAAAAATTATTTCAGTAGAAATCATCAATATCTATCAGTGTAGATATGTATATGTACATATGTATGTATTAGATGTATATAGATGTGTTATCTGTGTGTATATATGTATGCACATTTATACACACAGTGTTTTCCAGATAATTTTATTAAATTAGCTAAACAGACACTGCCAATACAGTGCTCTCCGCCCCTCTTTAAGGAAGTAATTTAACACATTTTTCCTATATAACATAGGTATTTCCAAAGAATGTTTAATTTGATTGGAAACTGACTAATTTGTGGAATGCAAAATGGACTTTTATAAAATGTCTCTGAAATGTAGTGCTTTGCTGCGAACCACAGCATTCATCAATTTACTATTTGAGGTTTGGAAACTTCAAAATAAACTCCAAGGCCAATGCCATTTTGGGATGTGCAATTTTGCCAAGTCATGACTCTAAAGGTCAGTATGCAAAAAGGAGTCACTTAAGCAAATGAATGTGGTTGTCCAACAAACACTTTTGCTCAGATTCAATTGAATTCAGCCAAGACTTTTTGAACTTCTATTCTTTCACATTATGAGCTAAGGAGTATTTCATATCAAGTATGTAAAGAATCACTGAAACATTTCAGTTATGCTTTATTCTATTCATGTGCACAATTTTATGCCATATTAGCAGTCATGAATGTGAGGCTTCTTGAACAAACACAAACAATTCTTATGCAAGTCCAGAACCTAATATTAATTTTGTAACAAAAGCATTGAAAATTGAGAATCGAAGAGTATAACCTTACCAGAGCTTTTAGTGTTTTATTTAAACATACATGCCACATCCTTTACTATCCTTTCCTTGAAAAGTTATTCACGAGTCTGTTTGTACATAAATTTCAAATGCACTGCAATATCTTGCCCCATCAAATGTCAAGTGCATTCTTACAGTGGAATGCTGACTAAACCTAGCACTATGTTGTCACTGTCTACTTAATCTCTTTTCTTCATTGTGCCATATCTTCTACATTTGACCTATTTTTATAAACTGATCACAAAACTCTCTCCTAGTATAAGTTGTCATTGAATATGATATTATATATATATATATATTTCATCTTGACTTTCTTAGCTCTGGTCAAATTTAATTATACTTAAGAGAGGAACTACCCTAACCTTGGCAAGATGCACTGGATCAAGCATGGAAAGAAGGCCCAGAGTCATAGACCTGGGTCCTGCAATGCCTGTTCTCAACTGCGTTGACCCTACTTCTAGACCTGTTTCCTAAGTGCTATTCATTGTCTATATCCCCAATATCTCCAATTACATCCTCACTTATCCCACCTGTTTGGCAAGGAAGACCGTTCTCTTTTGTCTTAACTCCCTTCCTTGATTCCACTTCATCAGGCAATGTCCAGAGAATTTTTGGGCTACATCAAGTTCAAAAAAATAAAAACCATATCATCACCCTCTCTATTCTCTCTAGCTGAGAAATAGGACTTCAACTCAGGTGTATTTAATAATTTAGAATCCATTCAAAATACAAGTTAAAGCTTATAATGTGTGCATTCACTAGAGAAATTCATCCTGTATGCAACAAATATAGAAGCAATGGCAGTTCACTCTACAGTTTTCTAGTTTTAAGGAAGAGACATTATTTACTTACTGTAATAATACAGTTTGTACAAGACAGCAACATCCTGTTATGCACTTAACTATTTTTGTTTCTTTTGTTAAGGCTTTCTTTCTTTTGGTATTTTAGAGGGAAAAGTAAGAACCAAATCATTGGAGTCCCCCCCTTATGCTGGTATCAGATGATATTGTATTTTAATAGAACTGAGCCCTGGTTACTATTTAACTAGTGATCCAAAGCATATTGATAACATAGAAAGAGCCCTGATGGGTTTCTTTGTTTTTAAAGTAAAATGGTAATTAAAAATAAAACCTTGTTTCAGTTTTAGATATTTCAAATAATTACTATATAGAAGAGGAGTCAAAATTGTTAATTGAATGAAATGTGTAGGCCTGGCACTACTAGACTGTCAAAAGTGGAGGGCTTATGTGAATGCACAGATAATAGTTTAGAAATTTGTGTGCTCTCCCTCAAAGTTGGTATTCATCCTAAACAATGCCTCAAAGCCCAAAGCCGAATTGGAAATGGACTAGTATGCAAGTGCTGAATGCTTCTATTATACAATATTTTAGCTGGAATGATGAATACTGTATGATCCTTCATGTTAAGTAGTTTTGTACTATTTGGGTGTCTATTATTCTTAGAGAGTCCCAGAGTAAAGTCAGGGAGCAAAGCTTAAATGCTCTTTTGCTGTTTAGGTCATGATTTTTCCTTTTTTATTGCACTTGGAATTATATAAACTTCTGCAGAGGCAAGAAGACCTTTTAAAAATACAGTAGGGGCAATGATAGCTTTGAAGTGAATCTTTCCTGGGAAGAACACAAAGCGTTTTCACTCTTGATAAGTGCCTCAAAAATCACCAGCTATTTGATTCTTAGGAAAGGCAACATAAATAAGCATTGTTATAATCATATTAAAGTTGAAGAAATGTATTAATCATAGGATTAGATGAGTTGCTTAAAACCAAATATATATGTATATATCTAGATAAAGATATAGGTCTATTATCTATTGATCCATCTAAAATGAAAGGAAAATGAACATAAACTTAGTACTTATTGATGTAAATAGATAAATGTATCACAAATGATACCACATATTGACCCTTGTCCATTTGGTATCTTTTTCCAAGCACTAAACCTTCACAAAAGTCCTGTTCCTGAATCAGTTCTTCTGTAAAGAAGAAGAACTAATATCTCCGTCGCCTATCATCTTAACCAACCAGACCAAAGTATAGAAGCAACAACTACTTTTACTTCTTTCCCTGACTCACCAGAGAATCAAAACCTTTTCTGAAGACACTAAGCTAGTGAAGAATTCCACCTACATCCCTTCCAAAGGCCCAGTGGCCTCTCCTTATTCTCCCCCCTGGGACTTCCCCACTGTTTCCTTTTGTTACTGCCATTATCAATGGCTGCTCAAACGATGCCCACTTAAGTTTATTATTTATTTAACTCTACCGACATTTCCTACTAATACCCATGTTTGCATGTAGTTGAAACTTCCCCACCTGATTATTGTGTGTGACCACCAGGGGCGATCACTCTTTCCTGACTTGTTTTCCTGCATTTTATGGAACTGGTTTGCTTATTCATCCTCATTTACTTATGCAGCTGCAGATAAATTTACATATATGTATATTTTATGACATACTTGAATGTGATTGTATAGAAAATACCTTTATAGTCCAACATTTCCATTTATTTTGAAATTAATAAAATATGAACACATCTCATTATAGTCATTTTTTCCTTTATATTACAAATACATTTTATAGGCCTAATATAAGTCCAACCACTTATTTCATTTTGGTGAAAATAGACCTTTGATATTCATTCTACTTGTTACCATTCGATCTTTATTATGTTTGGTATTTCAGATTAATCTCCTTTTCTGTTTTTAGCAGATACTGTTTTTAAAAAATACCTTTGTTCTTTTCTGGCAGCTGTTGTGCAACAGACCAACACTTGATGCTACATTGATAGGTGAGTAATTCTACAAGCAGAGGGTTTTTATTTGATGACAGTTTCTAAAGTCATGAACTGCTGTTTCTCTGTGTCATTTGCTCTCTTTTTTCTAATGAGATTAAAAATTCATTCTCTTCTTTTTCAGCTCAGTGATTGTCTCTCTCTCTCTCTCTCTCTATCCCCTGTGCTTCTTACTGTCACTCTAAGCCATGTGTTTAAATGACACTGTTCTCCAAAGATCTAGTATCTTCAATTTTTTGTTATAAGATTAGATTGTATTTATTTAAATAAACCATAAAGGAACTTTTATGATTCATTAGTCACCCTCCTTCCCTTTCTCTGTTTCTTCATTCTGGCTTTGGGGAAAACAGTATGCTAATAAGGATGATAATCAGATAAGGATACAAGGGTAAGAGTGTGCTTTTATGGACTGGTGCTTGCATATTATTTCTTTTTGACTGTGGCTAATGTGGCACAAAGTCATTCCTAGGTAAAGTCATTCCTAGATGAATCTGCTAGTTATTATTTTGGTAGGAACAAGCTCCCTGAAAACTTCCAGACACTTTCCATTGTAAAGTAGCACAATAAATATAAGAAAGTTATTTCCATAAATTAAGTGCCCTGTTCCTTTTATATTTTGCCTTTCCAGTTGATGTTGCTATTTATGTTACCCTCATAGAAGAAAGTCCCAGTATCGTATATAATCCTGTGGAGGAGATAGAATAAATGCACACAGATATTTAGTACGTCTGTTTTGAATAATCTCATAACTATAATTGAAGTGCAACAAGGCTAGAACTAAGGATAATCAAGAAGAAACATATCAGAAGATTAGAGACCCACCACAAAGGTCATGTACAACAGCGTCTTATGCGTTCTATAAAAAGTTTACAATATTGCCTGTGATTTTAAGTGCCAGGATACAAAAGATCCAAGCACCATTGAGGTATTCAAGTCACAATGTCATATTTATATTATATTTTGTTAGCCCTCTCAAATCATTCCAAATAATCCTCACACAGTTAACAACATCTCAGTTTTTTGTTTTTTGGTTTTTTTGTCAAATAAAGTAAATCCAGGAAATTCAGAAAGTTGCAGGTAGCTTACTTCGATCAAGAACATCTGTGTTTGGCATGTCAGGCACTGCTTACCTAGGCCTCCAATTTAGCACTCCATGGTAGTTGTAAATTGCCCCAGTAAACAACCAACTAAAAATCAATCATCTTGAACCATTTTTCAAGTTTGGGTTTTAAATTTTAGTATAAGTTAGCCAACTGTATCTTTTGTAATAACTTGACAATTTAAGCTTAGCAGAAGTTCTGTCTGGGGAAATGTTAGCATTCGAGGAAACTCCCATTCTGATGTTAGCTATTAAATTTTTACTAAGGCCTTGTCAGTTCCAGTTCAGTAAAATAAGTTCATTTTAAGCAAAAGTTTATAGAACGTAAACTCGACATTAGTCATGATAAACACGTTGCTCAAAATTTGTCTTACCCCAGTAACACAATATTCACTGTCGCCCTGAGAAATGTGCTCTTTAATCCCCATTACAGAGGTAAAGACAGTGAGGTTTAGAAAAGTTACTAACCGGGCCCAGCCCTAGAGCAATGTCGGCTGTTGGGTTTACCCAGAATTTCATTTTAGGCTATGCCAACTCCAAAGGTGTAAATCCAAGTTAAATGCCACTGATATTTCCTCTTTCTTCTACTCTTTTCTGCCTTTGAGAGAACTGGTAAAGCATGCAAAACCTCTCCTGTGTCCTGTAGAGATTTTTCTCTACTAAAATATATCAAAGCATAGATTATTTTAGGGTATTTTTTCTTGTTCTTATAGCTTTAAAGGCTAGGCTTTGTACCCCGTGGGAACAAGGTATGTTTTGCTACTTGACCAAAATGCCTACCTCTGCAACGAATACTAATTTTTCCCAGCAGGCACAAACTGCGTTAAATACCATGTAGCCATTGTAAATGAATTGCCTCGGAACAATGCCAGACCTCTCACCTACTTTTACTCTCCTCGTTGTTGTGTTTTCTTTCTTCTTTCCTTCCTTTCTTTTTTTATTTTAGCAAAAAACAGTGAAATTAGAATTAAAGGGCACTTTTTTCTTCCTTTAGTCCATGAATATGTCTCCGACTTATGAAAGGAGGTAAAATATTACCAGAAAACTAAAAGAAGAAAGCCAGTTGCTCGCCTATGAGGACTGGATGTAGCTGACTCATTTGGAAGCTCATTAGAAGGCTTATTTGCATATTTTAAATCACATAAATTAGATGGGTAACTATTTTTGCTGTAGGTGCTATTCTAGTGTTTTCCAGATACTTTTATTAGAAAGAAGCCAGGGTCTACGAGCGTGGAGTGTCCTGTATGTATCTTTCGTAAGGGACATTTGCAGAGAAAACCTGTGAGCACTTGCTTTTGGTTGGGAATCACCACCCACCTTTTTGCTTTGCTTTCTAACTATGGATACCTCAACAGGATGTCGACTCTTTGCGTCCTGGAAAATGTACTATAATTTTTAATGTTTTCATTCTGCCATTGACATATATATTGGAACTTTATTAGTTGTGAACCACAAGAAAGACCTGCACTTTATAACTGTCTAGATAAATAAAATTAAAACATAAACTTTATCCAAAAAGAGTAACTGAGTAACTGAGACTGTTTCTTCGCCAATGAATTCTTTCAGCATTTGGCCTTAGAGTGAACAGGATAATGTTTAACCCATAATCATGACTTGGTATTTGCCAACTGCCTTGTCCCTTTGATCGCTCCAAACAGAAATAAGTTCTTGTCTATTTGAAAGAGAATCAAATACTATGCACTTTGTACTTTGGTTACAGGCTTTTTCTTTTCCCCTCACCCAAGAACATTTTTTTCATTGGTTTTTAAAGAGAAAGAGAGGGAGAGAAGGAGGGAAAAAGAGAAACATCTATGCAAGAGAGAAATATTGATTGGTTTGCCTTTCTATTTGCCCAGAAGGGGACCAAGCCCATAACCTCGGTACATGCCCTGCCTGCAAATTGAATCAGCAACCTTTTGGTTACCAGATGACACTCCAACCAACTGAGTCACACCAGCCAGGGCTAGTTACAGGTTTTATGCTCAGTCACCAAGTTTGTAAATGGAGTTGTTTAAAATGCATAGAAATTGTGAGGAAAAAAGAAGCTGTTGAAAAATCCAGAAAAAGTAACTGAAAAGAGATTTTTAAAAAGAGTGTTTTATGGATGACTACTGTAAGACAGGAACTCACAATATACTTGAGACTAAAAAAAATAGTATGTCCTAGAATATTAAATGTTACATTCTCTTACACCATTGAGGAAGAAAATTGGCCACAACTATTTTGAGGATACGTTTGGTGCCTATATAATAATAATAATAATAATAATAATAATAATAATAATAAACAACTTATGAGGGACAATTAAGAAGGAACCCATAAAATGGCCTAACGCAGTCTAGAAGTTAACTACTAGATATTTAATGTCTCTAGCTTTCATTTCTTTTCCTTCCTCTGTCTCTGATCCTCATCTAGATGAACAGCTTTACAATATGTGTATCTAAAATACAACTATATTGAGGCCCTGGCTGGCATAGCTCAGTGGATTCAGCATGGGCTGCGAACCAAAGGGTCTCAGGTTCGATTCCCAGTCAGGGCACGTGCCTGGGTTGTGGGCCAAGTCCCCAGTGGGGGCCACATGAGAAGCAACCATACATTGATGTTTCTCTCTCTTTCTCCCTCCCTTCCCCTCTCTAAAAATAAATAAATAAAAATATTTAAAAATAAAATAAAATACAATTATATTAAACTTGGAAACAAAGAGAAAGATAGATGAACTAAATATGAAAAATATCAGTGATGCTGCCCATGAAAATATGAGAATTCTCTATATTGTGTATGTTAATAAATATTCTAATAATAAAGATCGAAAAATGCTTTGTTGTTGTTTTTCTGGGGGGGTTAAGCATTTTTTATTTCATTGTTGTTCAAGTACAGTTTTCTATCTTTTACTCCCATCCCAGCCCATCCCCCCAGTGCTCCCCACCTCCCTCCCATTTCCACCCCCCTTATTTGTTGTCCATGTGTCCTCTATACTTGTTCTTATAAACCCTTCCCCTTTCCCCATGAAATTCCCTCCCCTCTCCCCCTGATCACTGTCAGCCTATTCTCTATTTCAGTGTCTTTGGTTATATTTTGTTTGCTTGTTTGTTCTGCTGTTTAGGTTCCTGTTAAAGTGAAATCATATGGTATTTGTCTTTCACTATCTGGCTCATTTCAGCATAATGCTTTCCAGTTCTATCCATGCTGTTGTAAAGGGTAGGAACTCCTTCTCTCTTTCTGCTTCATAGAATTCCATTGTGTAAATGTACCATAGTTTTTTGATCCATTCATTTACTGATGGGCACTTAGGTTGTTTCCAACACTTGGCTATTATAAATTGTGCTGCAATGAACATTGGGATGCATAGGTTCTTTTGGATTGGTATTTCAGGGTTCTTAGGATATAATCCTAGCAGTAGAATTGCTGGGCCAAAAGGCAGGTCCATTTTTAGTTTTCTGAGAAAATTCCATACTGTTTTCCATGATGGTTGTACCAGTCTGCAATCCCACCAACAGTGAACTAGGGTCTCCTTTTCCCCACAACCTCTCCAACACTTGTTGTTTGTTGATTTGTTTATGTCAGCCATTCTGACCAGTATAAAGTGGTATCTCATTGTGGTTTTAATTTGCATCTCTCTGATAGCAGGTGATATTGAACATCTTTTCACGTGTCTCTGGATCCTCCGTATGTCCATCTTAGAGAGGTGTCTGTTCAAGTCATTTGCCCACTTTTTAATTGGGTTGCTTATCTTCTTAGAGTGGAGTCATGTAATTCTTTGTATATTTTGGAGATTAAACCCTTGTCTGAGGTATCATTGGCAAAGATGCTTTTCCCTACAGTTGGTTCTCTTTTTATTTTAATACTGTTTTCTTTAGCTGTACAGAAGCTTTATGTTTTGATGAAAGCCCATTTGTTT